CCCCAACAAACAAACAAACAAACAAACAAACAAATGAATCAAAGATGTTTTATCTGTGTCTAAATTTCAGTAAGGTGCATTAAGAAGAAACTTACAAAACTGGTAGTTCCCAGTGGAAACACTGCGTGTTTTGAAATTCCCAGCGGAAACACTGTGTGTTTTGAAATTGTCTTGTGACTAAACATTAGAGAATGCTGATGAAATCAGAACGACACATGCAAAGCTGATAAAGTCATTGTGAAAATTTAAGTTACATAACCATGGCAATACCCATCCGGTCTGGTTCCCTGGAGAACCATTCTGGCAAGGCACTGATAGGGTGCTGATGTGTGCACACTGAATGTAAGTGTATTTCAAATAAAAGCAGCAATGAACCCACAATGCATCACAACATCTGAAATTCCTTCACAAAATCTGGCGAAAAAGGGTTAGCCCATCTCACCACTGTGGAAAGGGATAAGGATGAGACGAAATCACCTGCTTTTCTTGAAGCCTCTTGGGGCATCATTGCGAAGAAACAGGATTTTTATGGGCCATGTGCATTTTGCTAGCAGTGGTCCATGTTACCTCTGAACACATCCATGCACACTACAGGCTTTCCTTGCAAAACAAACAAACGGTGTACAACACATACAGCTCTATTTGGCTTAAATGTGTTCTACTTGCATTATGTGACTAAGACAAGAGGCACACATCCTAATGTGGAATCATGGTTGGAAATAACATCATTTGCTGAACTGATTTCTCTGCAATTCTTGTGCAAAATACATGCAGTGCAGGTACAGTCGCTTAAAGCTCACAACAGCAGAAAAGAATGGCAATTACACATGCAATACGGGCGATTCACACTACCACCAAGAGTTTGCCATAGATAGGCCACTTTTCAAGTTTACGGCTGACACGCACTTTGTACGTAATTTGGGGATATTTGATTAAGGCCTTCCCTGCACCACACAAAAACCATCATTTGGACTACCTTCCACCCGTTCACAATAAGCAATTTCCAACAATATAAACAAACAATTGGAAAACATGTAAGTTTTCCCCGCATGGCACACTCAATGAATAAGACTATTTATCCCATAATGCACAGCAAAACGGCCTCTCCACGACAACCTCTTGGTGGCGCACTACATTGTGAATAACCCCTATTGAGATTGCATTTTTGGACAGGCGGAAGCAAATAGAACCTAAGACTCTTGCTGAAGGGTCATAACACTATGTATACGGTGCCAAAACATTGAAAGTGTAGTTGAATCTTGCCAATGGATACCAGTGACTGTGTCCATGAGCAAGGCACTTTACCACAGTGGTTCCTACTCACACGACTTGTATTATGCATACCTCTGAGAGTAGAGTTGGGTTTTTGGTAATGCCTAGGAGACACTTGAATTCAGGATGAAACCAAAGTTGGACTAGCCTTTCATCAATCTCACACCAGTGGCAGACTTTAAGATTTTTGGCAGCAGCAAACATACCGCTCCATTTCACCAGTTCTGAGCATGCCCGTGTTGCTCGGAGCATGTGCACGTTGATCTGAGCATGCTTGCGTAGTGCTGAACATGCATGCATAGTTCTGAGCAAGCGTGCATAGTTCTGAGCATGCTCAATTCTGTGAAAAAGAACTGGTATGTCTGCCACAACCAGCGTCTCAAAGTCTCTCACTGAGTCAAAGTGACTGTTAAGCAAAGTCTAAAGAGCTAAGTGTTTCCACTGGTTACCAGCAGCAGCATGTACTGCAAAGAGCAGCAGGGAGCCAAGATGAAGTATATAATGTTCACCAAGAAATTGGCTGCCTTTCTAAAGTTTAATGTACATTTACATGTAAATGGGAAGTGCAGGGTACAGTACATCATTAGCTCATTTGCCACACTGTGTTGCAACCAATGGATATGGGTCTCGAAGGAACCTACGATGAACAGCCTGCACGTGACTGTATCGCTGTGCATCACAGGACAGAGCTTCAATCATCCTCTTCAGCCGAGACAGTACGACAAAACTAGATGTGTGGAAGACTACAAGAGTGTGACTTTTCATGAAATGAAGGCCTGACATTAAATGGAACTGTTCCCCAAAGGCAAATAGACTAAACAGACATAAATCCGTGAACTTAAAAGAAATCGGGGATACAAGCGGCTTACAGTTATACATATAAAAGAAATCGGGGATACAAGCGGCTTAACAGTTATACATTTTGGTTATAATAATAGAGCCTGAAAGTAAATGGTCACACGGTGAGCTTCTGGAATCCTCATGTGGCTCGCCTACGAGGATTTTACATGGAACCACCCTATCACGATTGTTGGAGAATGACTTCTGACTGAGGCTACATCCGAATCTGTTGTCTAGAGCTAGGTCTAGGTCCTCGCTCCATTGGAAATATGTGGAGACGCGCAGATAATAGACCTAGCCGTAGCTCTGGAAGCCCGTTTCGGACATGGCCTGAAACCACCCTAAGAATACTTAGTCAGAATGCTACTCTTTGTGTTCTTAGAGTAATACTCGCGTAAATGTGACTGGAGATGGAAAAAAACAAGACTTTCATCATAAGCCCCTTCACTTTCAATGTCTTCTTATTTATAAATGTTTGTTGAATAACATTACAAATATTCACCTACCTACAGTCGATGGGTTTAGATTTTTGGGGGCTGGTCTGATGTAGTTCTTGTCAGTAAACATTACATAAGATTTTAGAATTGTACACGAAATTTAAGGCAGTAACCTTTATTCCTTAACCGCTTCCTGCCGGGGACTCCGGAATCAGAGACGTATGGTTTATATGCGTGGCCAGGGTCTCCAAACTCGGACAAAGGAAACAGGGCCCTGTAACAAAAGACCGTACTTTGAACAAAAGACCAAGCTGCTGGGCATTACCGACATTTTTCACTCTCAAAAGTGGTGATAATCCAGCCTAGTTTTGAAACCGTATACCAGGGTTTGGGGCATTGAAAGCAAGCGGATTACCACCGGGGACAAAAGCGCTCCACCACCCCAGCGATGAGCCACACAGCACCACTGCACGCTAATCTGGCCCCTATTGAAAAGAGGTCAGCAGTGCACTGAGCCAGGTTCGTGAACAAAAGACAGTTATACAACACCGCACAATCTGGGCTCTGTTTACAAGGCTGCAGGCCTGGCTGAAATACTCGGGCATCAATGAAGGTCACCAATCAACTTAGAGTAGTGCCTAAAGATTACTTCATGTGGTTCTAAACGACCGTTAAATCAAATGATAAATTTTTATAGGATTTTGAAAACAGAAAAAATGATAGTCATGCCGGCTCAGCATCATCAACATTGAAAAATGCCCCGGCATGAAGTGGTTAAAGTTTATTTCCTTAAAAATGGTAAACTTCCAAATTTATTTTGGTCCCTTTTTTAACAAGGTGTTTACCTACAGACTACCATAAAATAATTTTGTAACTTTCATCTGTGTACAATACACCACACTGCACAGGTCATCACATACTTAAGATTTTTGGAAGTGAGAAGTCACTTTTCCAGCACCATAATCCAGGCAATTTTAAAGTTTGTAGAAATTAATATGCTAGTAAATATTTTACGCAGGTCATTTTCGGAGGTGGTTTTTGTTAAGAAGTAAATGAACAAAACTAATTGCAGATTCTTACATTTTTGCACATTGTTTTTCCTATTTGAGGGTTCCAGGAGCAGGTAATCAGGGGTCAACTTTCAGGCTCTATACCTAGATACAGTGAAGCTAAAAAATTCTTGTGTCATACATCGGCCTGTACTCTCTTTCTGTTACATTTCATTGGTGACAAAAAGGCTGGTAAAGATTGCTTGTATTCATTAAAAAAGAGAAAAAAAAAATATCTTTGATCGAGGATATTTCTGGAGGGGTGCAATTTTAAAATGTCACGTGTAGAGAAAACTGCAGAATTAACATGAATCAGTAAGTTACCTGTAACTCATGTTTAAAATAAAAGATTTGACCAGCATGAAAAAAAAAAACAGATGACTCAGTGCACAAGAGAGAAAAGTCGAAAAACTTACTCTGGGCAGACCTCAAGCTAACTCCAAGTTATGATATGCAATGTTGCTAGGAAACCTTTTGAATCCTCCAAAAACAACTGACCCCCAATGATGTTGATTCTGAGAGCACTATCACCCAATTTAAATAAAAGGCTGAGAGTTTTTTTCACAGAGAGATACAGACCACGCCAGGATTTCAAGCGATAAGGAGCCATATGACGAAGAGAACAGCCACCCAGAGAAACACCTTGGAGAGGAACTGCTCGTCGGGGTTGGGCGGGGCTTGCGGACGATCTGGGGGAGGAGGAAATCAGAATGAAAATATTACATTTAGTTTCTCTGAGTGACCCACTACACTTCAACAAATGTGTCTAAAAGGCCGCAAAGGTGCTCTAATTTTATGGAATGACCCATATACACGTATGAACACTTGTGTCGGTGCTCTGTGAAATGTACTCAGGATTAGTCATCAGAAAAAAAGCTGCACAAGTGACACATCTTTGAGTGTTTTTCTTATGTAAGCTCAGCTTCTAATTTAATGCCATTTAAAGACAAGGTGCGTGGGTAGGACTTTGGTTTCACTTTTTTATACAAATTCAGTGTGCAGCTAAGTGATGACGGATGAAAATTAAAACCGCAAGTGAGGTCGGGTGGCACTGGTTTCAAACGAAATGAACTGAACAACACTTCAATATTGCATGCATTAGTAAAAGTCTGTTGTATCTTTTTTAACCACATTCAAACTAAAATGGACACTTTTTTATTTCCAATTTCCAATATGAAAACTAATGACACAGTAACAGAGTGACGTATGCAGTCCAATGATGTCCTTCTATTACCACAGCAGCACATAGCTTTACTTGATCATTGCAAAGTCCGAACTTCAAAAGAAATCTCTATGATAAAGGGACACTTCAATCAAAGAACAATAGAGTCTAGGCCCTAACTTAGTACTGCTATCTGATAGAGCAGGATAAATGGTGACAATCCCTTCCAATAAGTCAGTCTGTTGCCCACGGAATTACCCTTTTTCAGTTTATTTGCCAGGAGATTTCACGCTTCATTTTTTCAAAGGCCTAGTTCTCAATGGAATATTCAAATGAATACTTCCAAATCACACTATATGATCAGAAATCTGTGCCATTACCAGACAGTTACTGAGAACAAGACAGCAATCAACTTACGTGGATGACCCATAAATCTACCTCCATCCCCGAGATTAAACGTGGATGCAAAGAAGCCAAAGGGGAACGCCCCTATGCCAAACGACATCTGAAACCCACCATCGCCAAACCCAAAACCTTGGAAAGGCTGGAAAATGAAAGCAATAACAACTAGAGAAAAATACACATACTGCATTCATTTTACATTCAATGTTAAGAATATTTTTACCATTTGAGCTTTGTTGTCAATGCCTCCCTCGAAAAACACCTCTTTTCACATCAGAAATTAATACTGTCTGCCCGCATTTTTCACCCACTATTCATGGAGTTGCTGAACTGGGTGATACCATATATTGGCCTTTCTATTAATTTGGGGTCCAATTTGTTACATGTCCCTGTCACATCTGACATATGATTGTGTAATTTTAGAACACATTCTTTGATTTCCAAGAAGGATTAAATGGTGCAGATCACCTGCAAAGCAAATCAAACTAATTTAAAAACAATTTAAATCATATTTCGTTGTCAAATTACACAAGTCGGGAGTAACAGAGACACCAAAATGTCACACTTTTCAACCCCAAATATACAGAATGACTCAGATCTAAATAAAGAGTTCACTGGGCCCTGATTGATACAAAAACTACTGCCAGAACAATGAAGTGAAGACCGTTTCTGTGGGATGTGGTCCCCTTTTTGAAGATCTTGGAAAGCTACATGTATTTGCTGAACAGTCACATGCAATCACGTGGGGTACTGATTCACGGGACCGGGTCTACGGATGTTGATACTGGATGCAAATTCAAACATACATGTATGTCTGACAGCTAAAAGACCTTTGTACGGGGCCCCTGAAGGGACATTCAGTGTATCTTTTTTTTATCTTGTTTGCATGAAAAAACAGGTCATGTGAACATGGTTAATGAAATAAAACCACTCATGTGCATGATATGTACGTCGTGGGCATGAGATGATAATACAGTCGAACCTTGTTAATAAGACTTGGCAAATTACCTTGTTATAACAGGAACTTGTATTATCAGGAATGAAAACAGTGAAAAACAAAGGATTGGGCTGTAAAATTTTCCTTGTTATAAGCAGAATCTTGTATTAACAGTGCTCTTATTAACAAGGTTCGACTGTACTATGTTGTGTGCAAAATATTTTTGAAAAAAATGAATGTCCCTTTAGGGGCCCCTTACCTATGCTTGTTATCACCATTCTTTCATCTATTCTAAAAGCACTCTATACACAAAATATATTTTGACTGAGTAAAAAAAATCAATTTTTTTTTCAATAACTGAGGATGGACAGGGTCTTTCCTGCAAAATCGTGTCACCGGAATTATGGCATCAGGGGTATTGTTGTAAGTAATGGCACAAATGGGGAAAATGTAGTTACATGTAAAATCCATGGGCTACTGGGAGGGGCAGGTGCACTTTTAATCCCATACTCAAAAATTAACAGTCGAGTCTAAGTTTGCTATGGGCATTCTGTAAAACAAAACAGGAGTGAAAGCAATGAAGAACAGTGAATCAGGAACTAAACATTTCCTTGTTAAAAGCAGAAACTTGTATTAAATGTGGTCTTATTAACAAGGTTTGACGGTACCCAAAAGCTGAAGAAATGTGGTTTCTTGAGCAGGTACTATCAACAAGATAAAAAAACAAAATCAAAAACTGAAACGTTTTAGTAAAATAAAGGCACTTCAGATATTTGGTCCGTAACAGGTATTCTTCTCTCAATAAACCTTTTGTGAATTAAATTGGAATAAAATCTGGTATATCGGGTTATCTAATTGCACAGTAACACAGCAATTCCCCTGAATGAAGACACTGTTGCTACACCTTGTGATTCAGGGCAAGCTTTTGCATAGTGACCACCATCTCTGGGATGGACTGGTTCCTTTGTGCTCTTCTTATCCATTGGAAAATAGTGTATTGGCGCAAGGCATCTCTTATGTAACTAAGCACAAGATTGCCCCGAATCAAAAGTATAGTTACACAGTCTTCAGTAGAAGAATTTTAAGAATTCAAATTATGTTCACATGAATTTCAACAACTCAGAGTACCAGATTTTATTCAAATTTAACACGCAAAAAAATTATTGTGTCATATTTTGTGGAGGCAGAAAGACATTCCCTGAAAAGAATTCCCAGCATGAATATAAATGAAAACCCTTTCCAAACCAACTTGCGGGGGAAGAGGGTTAACATAGCGGTTCCTTCCTCACTTTCCACCAATGTGGCCTGGGTTCGAGTCCCGGCCTGGCCCAAGCTTTAACCCCTTGACGAAGGGAATTTTTTTTCCGAAAGCCGACTCCAAGAATTCTAGACTTGCTTGGCCACGAAGGCCACCTGCCAAACTGCAAATTCTCCGTTTGTGGCCCTGCGTGCTCTGCACACTTTGAATCACACAGTGGAAAGGCTCATTGGTGGCATGAGGTTCTGCTCATGCTTCCACATTCCCGTTGCCTCTTTTCAAAGTGGGGACTATTGTGAAGCTGGTGATTATGATGCGAATTCGGCCTTTTCACTTCTTGGCAACACACAAAGACCAATCACCATATATACAAGAGCCAGGGTATGCCTTCTTTCACTGTGTTTGCTCGAGCGTGGGCCAAAACCAAGAATAATAGCTGAAAAGCGGGCTGAGGATCTCAATTTTTACGGCAGCTCTTACCGTCATCCGTCGCGAAGGGGTTAAAACAAAACAACAACAACCAACTAGCAGACTGCTTCCGTTGTTCATAATGGACTACTTTAGACAAAATGAGCATCATTGTTTCAATAGTACAAACCTATGTAACATAAATCATACTTATTACTCACTCCTTGTGTTTCAGGCTCTGGTCTCTCGCCAGGTGGTCGCTGTGGAATTTTATCTCTGGAGGTTAAATTAAAAGAGAAACAACAAGTATACTTTTACAATAAATTATAACACAAAAACTTCAAGGAAAGTCATTTTTTGGCCTTTGAGTTGGTCATATGCACTCAGCTATCTTTAATTTACTTTTGACACTTTCAAACATGCTTTTCAAATGCAATTTTGTAACCAAGTAAGATGGGCGTTTCACAATAGTGCACCTCCAAGAGTTTGCAACACGTTGACCAATCACAATATGTGAAATCCATCAACTTTTCCAAATTCACACTGGGTCAACAGATTTGACACACTGTGAGTGGTCAACGCGTTGCAAACTCTTGGGGGCGCACTTCTGTGAATAGCCCGTATTGATTATCCCTTTTTAAATTTGATTATTAGCTTGGCATATTCAGTTCAAAAAGAAAGTCTGAGCATTTTGATAATTGATGGAACGTCTGATTATTCAAATAGGCACGGCCCAATTTCTCACCTTGGATCTTCTTGTTTTGTGCTTCCTCTGCCATACAAGGGGGTGACGCTCTCTTTACTGATGCCGGCTTTACAAACAGGACACGTTTGCCGATTGGGTCTGGTTTCTAACCACTGATATAGACATGGCCAGCTTAATAAGACAGAAAGAGGAAAATTGAGCCAACATACATGTACACCCATCTGGAGTAGAGTACCCAATCTTCCCCCACAATGTACCTTGTCGGTGTTCCCTTCAATCATAATTGAGGCTTTGCATTTGGTTGAGTATTTTCACCTCTAGTGCCAGGAGGATATATCCCTGTTTGCACCAAACAAAAAACATTGGTTTGAAACTTCACGATCAAAAATGTTTTTAAAAGATGAAAGTAGATAACTGTGTTTCACTGCCACAGAAACGCATATAATGTAGCTAAGTTTGATGATGTATGTGAATCTTTGGAGAGCAGTGGTGGTGGTCTCCAAAGATTGTATAGCGCCGAAGGCGCAAGATGGATAACTCTGCCCAGAAGGTGTAATCACCATGGGCACCGTTTCAGCAAGCAACACGCCTGCGCAGTTTACGGTAATGCTTGGGCGCAGGCTCACCAGGTGCATGTGCCTGCCACGGCGCCTGCGCCTGTGCATTAATGTGCACTGCGCAGGCGTATCACTTGCTGAAATGGCGCCCATGCAATTATAACATTTTACGTGTATTTACGGTGAAGTTTGCCATCCTG